GAGTGACCTAGTAGCGACCAGTGAAGAGGCGGGGCCAGGAGCTTGGACTCGACCCCTGCAACCTCAACTAGGTGGGTACACACACGCACGCGCGCGCACACACACACACACACACACACACACACACACACACACACACACACACACACACACACACACACATACACAGCCAGATAACTGCTGCAGCATATGGACGCCTGGCAAACCTGAGAATAGCGTTCCGATACCTCAGTAAGGAATCGTTCAAGATTCTGTACACCGTGTACGTCAAGCCCATACTGGAGTATGCAGCACCAGTTTGGAACCCTCACCTAACCAAGCATGTAAGGAAACTAGAGAAAGTGCAAAGGTTTGTAACAAGACTAGTCCCGGAGCTAAGAGGTATGTCCAACGAGGAGAGGTTAAGGGAACTCGACCGGACGAAACCGGAAAGCAGGAGAGATAGGGGGATATGATGAAGACATATAAAATACTGAGTGGAATCGACAAGGTGGACAGAGACAAGATGTTCCAGAGATGGGACACAGCAACATGGGGTCACAGTTGGAAGTTGAAGACTCAAGTGAACCACAAGGATGCTAGGAAGTATTTCTTCAGTCACAGAGTTGTCAGAAAGTTTAATAATCTGGGAAGTGAAGTAGTGGAGGCAGGATCCATACATAGCTTTAAGAGGAGGTATGATAAAGCTCATGGAGCGGGAAGAGTGACCGACTAGCGCCCAGTGAAGAGGCGGGGCCAGGAGCTGTGACTCGACTCCAGCAACCACAACTATGTGAGTACATACAAACGGTAACACATCCAGTATACTACACAAGGACATCAACACTGACTGCTATATTCCTTAAAATCCCACAGAATTAGTTACATCGCCACTTTAAGAGAAAGTCTGGTCTTGTCTCAGTAGTAAAGGACTCATATCCCTGGATCAAATCTGATTACCTTCCTTTACCCATACCCTCTATATTAAATAATAATAATATAATTATCTATATTATATAATAAAAACAGCAATACTACTACAACTACTACTACTAATAATAATTCCTACAATGCTTCTCCATAAGGGAACAAAGAGAAGACATACAATCTTTCACCGTCCATAAACTGCAAACTGCAGACATTTATCATATACATTATATTTTATTTTTTTTTAGAAAATTCCTCTCTTGAAATACCGTGGAAATTTTTCTCTGGAAATCCCGACATACGTCAGCTTATTCCAGAGCTTAGAGTTCTCTTGAGGCGATCCAACCTCGTAATAACAACGTTTGCTTACTGACACATTTCATTGCGTACGTTTCTGCGCAATATAAACAACGGCACCCTTCGTGTGTGTGTGGTGTTCTTTGTAAGATATAAACAACGACACCTTCCGTGTGTGTGTGTGTGTGTGTGTGTGTGTGTGTGTGTGTGTGTGTGTGTGTGTGTGTGTGTGTGTGTTTTCCTAAGATATAGACAACGATACCTTTCGTGTGTCTTATTTTCGTAAAGTACAGACAACAGCTCCAGTCCCGTGACTCGGCCGATATTACAACGCAATCTTCTAATGTTTCACATTACTGATGCTACAGGATGCAGACAAATTGCTAAGACATGTTCAACACTCGGATACCTTTATTGCCGAAACGTTTCGCCTGAGTAACAGGGTTCTTCAGTCAAATACAGGCAAATATAATAGTGGAGGCAGTCGAAGTAATTTTGAGGCCATCAATTCCTTTGCTTAGATTTAAGGTGGTCAGTCACTTAACCTGAAGCAGAAGTAATACTAGACTTTATATACTGTACAACTTCAACAACAGAAATAAAAAACAACAACAGGTAAATTCCCCCCTTATCACCCCTCCACCACCCCTTCTTCCCTTAACAATTGGGGCGGAGATTGCCCTAGCAATCCCTCTTCACAGCCTGCAATTACGCTCTCGTACTCACACTACGATACTCAACCCAGGACGTTAGTTTGTACTCTACCCTTGCTCGGTACCAGGTACTCTAGGACCGAACGATGGCATCTGAAGCTGAGGGTGGAGGACAACAGCCAGAGGAGAAATGAAGCAGTTGAAGGTCTCGTTACAAGTGGACAGGACCCACTACTAGAAGTTGGACTTGTCTAAGAGTACCTTACCCTGAGGTAAGGTTATACAGTACCTGGGATATGGGAAGATAATAAAAAATAGCAAAATGTGGAACGAAAAAAACGCATGAACGGACTAAAATAGTACTCTATTATATATTACTTCATAATATACACCGATGTATTATACATTACTGCGTTTTATAAAGATCTGTTTAATTGTCTCCGTGTTGGGTTGTGTGTGCTACTAGCCAAAATTTAATATACATTTGATTTAAGATGTATATTATGGGCAACCTGATCCATCAGCCAACAGAATCTATTAAAAAAAATCTGTAGCACAATGTACTGTAGCACAATATCAAAGTACAAAAATTGTAAAAGAACATCCATCCACGAATTTATTTCTAGGAACGGTTTTGTATATTCTCAGGCGTGTATGTACTGTTCTAGATAATGATTAGAGAGTTTAATTAAGCTCATCCAAGGAACGTCGACGAGGCAAAATCCCGAGGTGCGGAAGCAATATTGGAGGCCGCGTTCCTTCCTCGCCTTCTGAAGACTTCAACCTTACATTTGCTGAAGTCTTTTTAGCGCCCGTGTCATGATGCTTGCATACGATACTCTCATCATTGACGATTTTGTGAATTATCAGTTGTTCTGTTAGCAGAATGTGCAGAAAATGACAGTTAAAGAATGATGACTATTATTTATTACGAATTTCAAAATTATTTTAATTATTAATGCATGTTCAAGGATAAGCACTAAATCCGTGAAAAAACGCATCACCTGTTTAAGGGTAAGAGTGTAGAAGAATGAGTAATGGGATTTAATCTATGGAAGAGGAGTGTGGCATGCAAAGAGTACGTAACCTTTATTCGGCGCATGTACACACCCTCATTTACAGGCTATCTCCCCCAACCAGCGAACCAGGTTGCTAAGAGTTGATGATGGGGCCCCGTCGTTCAACTAGTGACCAGGTTCTAGCCAATAAGAAGATGGTTTTGGCAATCGCAGAGGTTATGTGGGTACCGCTCTCCTGTCTGCCCTTGTCATTCCCATTCTAGAGCTGGTTGAAGCACGGTCTGCTATCTTGTGGCTTCTATTTCTGCTTTGCTTACCGTGGAGTGCACTATACTTATCTCTGTACATAGTGTACATATTGCTGTTATAAATTGGTGAAGGATAATATAAGTCTAAACTTTTTCTACTGTGTTTATTTTGCTCCCATTACACCCGGGGTAACAGGCCATTTGGATCCTGGGTTGTAATAAGGAGTATACCTCAAAATTAAATGGATCAGCCCTTCACCAACATCCAGGAAGCCTCATGAAGGGAGCTCGCCGAATATAAAAAATTGTGTTTATCTTTACAAGTAACTTTCAACTCACGCCACTTTCTACTTACACGAACGTTTCATACAAAAGTATGAAAATGTTACTTATATGTTACTTATCTGTTACTTGTATGAATAATATTGCTAAAATTTTTATCATAAGTGCCTCAGACTCTTCTGAAACATCGAAATACAGCATGCGGTATTCTGTAGTAGGTTTGCCGGTCTTGTCCCGGCCCGAGTCTTTTCCAGATGGTAACCCGGCGACAGCATGCAGTAAAATGTAGTTTCTCATGTTACTGAGTAACCTCGTTATATTTAAGACTAATAGACAGCACAAGGTTAATAAGGTTGTCATTCACCTGTATACCTGGAGAATACCCAGAGAGGGTTCCGGGGGTCAACGCCCCCCGGCCCGGTCTGTGACCAGGCCTCAATATCAAGAAAGTAAAGGGGTTGAACGTAAACCCTCAGTGTGTATACACAGTGATACAAACCTCTTACTGTTTATACACTGCGATAAGCAATTGAGTAAATATCTCGAAACAGTGAAATGAAAGTTCGAGACAAGAAATGCACATTTTTAAGTTGTATTTGCTTACAGAATGAAAGAAGAATGGAACAAACTAACTACTGAAGCTGTGAACGGAAAGACGATATAGTCTTTTAAGGAACCCGAAGGAATTAATGAGATAATGTGCTGGAACAACATTTAACCAACGGATTCTTGATATTAGTTCAACAATTATATCAGGACGAAGAGTTTGATATGAGCCGCTCAAGTTAATAATAACAGATGTGGTAGAAGTTGAGGTGGTTGTGGTGGCGGTGGTTGTGGTGGTTGTGGTTGTGGTGATGGTTGTGGTGGTGGTGGTGGTGGTTGTGGTAGTCTCGGGAGTGACCACAGGCGATCTGGTGTTTGCTCCGAAGCTGTAGATATTCACTGCATCATATTCACTACCACCACAGTATCGAGAAGTTGAACTAGGGTGAACTGGCAGCAGAATCACTGGTACACATAACTGTTGGTATCAGAGGACTAACACGAGTAGTGTTACCTCTCTCTACCAAAATGAAAAGTAGTTTGTAGTTCATGCCTTCCATTCATTTCTCTTCGTAAGTCCCATAACATTTCTTCAAGACGGAATGATATAGTTTACCTCTGTTTTTTGCCGGCATTGGTTTTAGGCAGTGGAGAGTTGGAAGCGAGCCTTCTTGTTTATTATCCTTGCCTCAGACACCTCGAAAATATATGGTAGTTCCTAGTCCTGACTGAGATAGATAGTCATTCCTAGCGGATAGTCTGGGTGTGGACTTAAAGCTCATACCCAGTCTGTGTCTCTTTTCCACGTACTCCCACAGGTCAGATGCTTAGTAGTTTCAAAGTAACTACTGAACGTGGCGGATACGAGACCAGAATAAACAGTTCGGGTACTGAGAAGAAACATCGCGTAAGGAAGAGGTAATCAGCGGCGCACCTTTGAGGTGCCATAGGTAGACTGAAGGTGAGAGGGGAGGGCAGTGGTGGGGGGGATGAGTGCCGCGGAGAGCCTCAGTACGGCACCGACCACCGGTGGAGCAGGACAGTGAGGTGTTGCTCTTGGGCCCCTCCCTCCCTCCAACCCCTCCCTCCCACTACCCGCCTTCGCGTTCTAACTCCCGAGCGATGTTTAGCGAGTGAGCGGAAGCATTTAGTCAGCGGGTCCCACTTTAGCTTCAGTGTTAAGGTCGTGTATGTTTACCTCCTGGATGTACGTTATGTTCACAGTGAGACAAACATGAGGATATTAGCTCGTATTACCAACACGGTAAACACCATCTCCTGACACGGGTGTTGCATATCCAAATTTTTTTTCCTTGAAGGTTATTGATTTCCTAACAAAATGTAAAAATCTGGTTCTTCATCAGATAAAAATTTAGCGTTAAGAATCAAACGGTGCAGAAACAAGAATCTATTAGCAATAAATAGTGAAGATACGGTGAACGAGTCTTCATTATTAAGCATAATAAATGAATAAAGAGCATTTTTTGTGTGTTTTACTAAATACCATGTAAATATAATTACCTAAAAATAATGAAAAATTTATAAACCAGTGTATATAAGTGTGACGTACGATACAGCAAAACCTTAGTAAAATATACAAACTGAAAGTTTTCACATACGATAACAATGTTTTTCTCCATAATGAAACTGACTGATATATATGAGAAGTGTGTAGGGCTGCATCTGCTGCTACTGCTGCTCTGCTGTCTGCTTAGTCCAGCAGCATCACACCAAGAGTCTACAAACGGTAAGTAATGGAAACATTTCATAAGAGAATCAATCATTCTTCCAAGGCCTTCAATCTTTCTTCATAATTCTCACCATCATTTTACCACCTTTAACGGCCGTCAAACTTCCGCATCACGTAATGGAGCTTTTAGGCAAATTGTCTGAGGAAATGCTGAGGAGGAGGAGGTGGTAGGGAAGTGCGAGATGCTCGCTAATATCCTGGCCTCTTGAGAGATAATATGATGTACATTTATGATAAATGGTTTTGAAAACCGACAAGTTGAAGATTGAGACACTTATGCAACATATAGGAATCTTTTTTTAAGGAAATGTTTCGCCACACAGTGGCTTCATCAGTCCAATACAAAGGATAGGAGAGGAGGAGTTTGAGGTAATCAGTCCCTCAGCCTGGAGTCGATATCTCAATCCTCACGACGTACATTGTCACAATATTTTATTATATATTTATTATGTATTACTGGCTGCGGAGATCATCGCCCCTGCGACCCAGTCTCGGATCATATTTCATATATTGAAAAAGAAAAATTACTGGAAATCGAGGTATTAAGAAACACACACAGAAGGAAAGCTTAGTGTACTCCTAATATAAGTTGATGATATACCTGTTATCTCACGTGTTCAGGAAACAGAAAGAATGTCAATACATTTACCTGCGCCACCTGTACAGTTCTCACTAATTGCTTTCGTAATTTTGACTTTATCTGGAAGACGGGAATTTAATTTAGTTACGTTTTTGTAATAAATGGATTTATAAGAAATAAGGAGTGAGATTAAGAAGGAATATAATGATTAATCGATTATGATTAAGAGTCACAATGGTGTAGATTTGATCAAATTTACATTCAATGGACAACGAAAGATGGACGACATTTCGGCCGTCCTCGATTACAAGTGGCTAGCGACTTGTTAATTGCTCAGGACTGACCGAAACGTCGTCCAGTTTTCATTTCCAGTTTATGGGCCAGTTTTGATTCACTGATATCACGTGCTGAACATGTTCTTTGTGGCCATATTTCAGTTTTTACGAAAATTTATTATAGAATGTAAAAACTAGTGATATGTAAACTTGCTGTAATGCAGTCAGATCAGTACACACCACACACACACACACACACAAAACGATTGTCCTAATGTGCGCGCGCGCGCGGTTGTGTGTGTGTGTGTGTGTGTGTGTGTGTGTGTGTGTGTGTGTGTGTGTTACTTCTGGCCACACATCTCATCATTTATCAACTATTTTCACTGATTCCCGGCCATATCTTAATAATAATAATAATAAAGTCATTATTTCTACAATTACATGCACAAGGGATATAGGCCTAAATGACATTAATGACATACTACTGTATAGAAAGCAGAGTATATCGGTGTTTGCCTCCGCCATATCTTCATCTAGTTCGTTCCATTTACGACCCACAGACAAAATATGCATTTCCTTATATGCCTCTGGCTCAGTTGCACCTTGCTCTTGCTAATTTAATCGTCGTGTGTTAGTGCTTAAACAGTTGTGTCTTTGACAGAAGGCCACAGATTTAATTTAGTGTGTGTTTGTGCGTGTGTGCGTGTGTGTGTGTGTGTGTGTGTGTGTGTGTGTGTGTGTGTGTGTGTGTGTGTGTGTGTGTGTGTGTGTGCGCGCGCGTGTGTGTGTGTGTGTGTGTGTGTGTGTGTGTGTGTGAGAAAGAGAGAGAGAGAGAGAGAGAGAGAGAGAGAGAGAGAGAGAGAGACAGACAGACAGACAGACAGACAGACAGATTCTCCCTTAACTGGGAGGTATCGGTCAGGTAATCACGACGGTGACTAACCAAATTCCTGTCAAGTCACGTGTGGTTCTAATTTAGTTTGCGTTAGTTGCCTGACCATAACAATATCCCCACCTGATCCAGGATGGACCGAAACATTGTTTAGTTTTCAATTCCAATTTGTAGTTTAGTTGTGAATTGTCTTAGCCTTGATAGTCTAGCTTTTCTTTTTTCTTGTTGTAAATTCTGAAACCTTCACTGCTTCGTAAATATAAAGTTTAAGGAACTGTAAGCTGTATAATTTTTAACTTCTGCACTATAATTGGGCAACGTAAAAATGGGTGTCCATAGGAAAGCTCCTTTCCCAGAAAACCAACTATTTCCTCAGGTGTCCTATTTTTTTTTGTTTCAATTTCACAATTAAAACATCCGAAACTTTCTTGAAAAAGTGTAACTTTCTCTTTCATAAAGACGTTACTCATGAATGCAGTCGTCGCTTTCTTTTAAGCAGACTCGGCTTTCTTAAATGGACTCGCAACTTTCTTGCATAAATACTCACCGTTCATAAAGACAAGACACTACTTTCATGCATAACGAAGTTACTTTTATAAGGTAGTAAATAATTTCTTTCATAAAAACTACCTGCTGGAAATAAGACACATTTATTGCGTATAAAAGTCACTTTATAGCGAACTAACGTTATCTTTTTGAGTAATTAAACACTGTTCAGCGCTATAAAGATGAACACATCTTCAGTCTTAGGAACTGATTATCTCCGACTACTACCTCAAGATTGAGGGACTGATCACATCATCTTTTCCTCTCCACTGCTTCTGCTGTCTCCATACTTTCCACTTCTGTATTCGACTAAAGAAGCTACTGTGCTGGCGAAGCGTTTGTGAATGAAGAGACAAAACTGTTGCACATGTGTCTTAGCTACTTAATAACAAAATGAAAAAACTTAAAATTCCGTGTATGATGATGCAAGTATTTGGTATTATTACTTCCTAGAAAAAAACATTTTATTTTCACAATAATTACGTTCCTTTCAATTTTTTTTTACTTCTAGTTTTCTTTTGCACACCCATGACACTTTTTTTTTGTGGTATCTTCTATAGGCTTGTTTCACAAAATGTTTTATGAGATTTTCATTCTCATCGCGATTTGTTCAACACCAATAACTACTTGAAATTCTTGAGTCAAATCAGTGATTTTTTATGACCAAGTTTAATAATAAAAACGGTCATTCCCAGGATCATCGTCTACAGTACAATCCCCATCATAACTGAAAGGATTTCATTAGTATCATTGTCTCCACTGTTATTAAGAATAACTGCGAAATCATCATCAATGTCATGATCATCAAAATCATCTGGATAATAAATATTGCGGGTATCATCATATCATCATACATGAGCATCTTAACTAATCTTTCTCGCAGTTGCTTCTTCCATCGTATTCCGTCTTGCAAGTGTATGATGTTAGATCCAGAAGCGACTCCAGAGCTGCTGCCTCAAGAGTTAGGATAAGGAGCAATCCATTATGTTGACTTTTCCATTTCCGAAGTTCAGCTGGTAACTGAATACTTCACCACAACAGAATTTGATGGCAAAACCCGCAGGAAGTGAGCGCGGGTACAACTGCTGTTATGGAAGTGTTGCAAGTTTAACTTCGTTATTGTGAGCAACCGGTTTGCTGATGCACTTTATGCGAAACTAACTTATAAAAGTTTCATTCTTTAGTGCCCCAAAACAATACAAAGAAGCATAAAGATAACCTGCAAAAAGCAACATTTTTGAACGCAGGTATATGGTAGTCAGCCACCCATTCTGTCCGCCTGGATAAATTATCACAATAAGGTATCGAAGATGAAATATTCCACTTGTGTTCGAACATGGAGTCCTCATCTTTTCATTTCCACATCGTAGTCTGGAAATTTTCTATCCTTCATCATATCAGATAAAGCTCTTTCTTTTGTAAATGTAATGGTATTGCTTGGAAATGCTTGATTCGGTTCTCTTATTTCTCTCTTCTACTGAAAGAGAACCTTCCACCTCTTCCAACTAAATTTAGTTTTTGGTGTTCTCCACTTTCATACGCCAGGGATCTTGTATCTTTCTTCCCTCTGTTTGTAGTTTCCCTTAGAAGCGACTTTAAATCGCTTTTCTATTCTGTATGAATGGAAGAGCTTGTTGTATGGACGAAAGGTTCCGACAAAAAAAAAAAAAAACAATGCCATGTGTCTTATTGATCAACTTGTCGGTATTGATCAGCTTGTCGGTATTGATCAGCTTGTCAGGCTACAAAACCAAAAGACACGATTTAAACTCATGGTGTAACTAGAAGTGGATACAATCATTTTTATATATTACCGAACAGGTCAGTGGTACACTTAGAAAAACCAGGATTCATTCTTTCTCTGGCTTAGAACAAAAAAAAAAAAAACCAGTGTTTTAGTACCGTATTCAATTTCTATTTTTGCTCTACTCTTCAGCTAATATACTGTGTGAAAACGTCTGCTGTGTAGGCGACACTTCGTCAATTACTGCTTTTGTGCATTCATCAAAAATTCGTCTGCAAACCCATCACCATCAAATGATACAAGTCACTATTACTGAGCGGCTCACCATCTGAGAAAGGCACCTTAAAAAAATATTTGCAGATAAAAATTCCAAAATTAACGCTGGGACTCGCGTAAGAAATCGAATAAGGTAAAATATAAAGCTGAATGGAGGGAGGTGAGGCGATATCATTGAAGTAACAGAATCTGTGAGAAGACAATAGGGGTATCAGACTGTGAGACATTCAGGGACTATTAAATCAGAATACGTTATCAATCTGAAGACAAGCTGAAACGGATCGGAGAGTTTTAAACTCTACTGGCCAATATTATAAGAAGAAGAAGAAGAAGAAGAAGAAGAAGAAGAAGAAGAAGAAGAAGAAGAAGAAGAAGAAGAAGAAGAAGAAGAAGAAGAAGAAGAAGAAGAAGAAGAAGAAGAAGAAGGTGGTGGTGGTGGTGATGATGATGATGATGATGATGATGATGATGATGATGATGATGATGATGATGATGATGATGATGATGATGATGATGATGATGATGATGATGATGATGATGATGTCAGCACACTTCAGGAAAGACAGCGATTTAGTGAATAATGGTAAGTGTGTTTCCTCTTTCGAGTGTCACACTTCCTTGGTGAGAGACGGCTGGAGTGAAAGAAAATAAGTACGAATGCTTACAGTTCCTATGAAAGTTTTA